GTAAGACTGTCAGTACGCTTGACAAAGTTGCGCGGCCAGTGGACGCCAACCTGGCCAGCGCCGCGCGCAGCCAGCAGTCTATCAGCCATATCTCGCACAGCTGCATAGGTAGGCGAAAATCCACGTAGATCCAGATGAAGTACATGATCAATTATCACCTGCTCTTCTAGCTTAGTAAGCTTCTTTAAGTTGGGCTGGCAATCGCGTCGGGCAGGCTTGCCGACGCGTCGGCGGCGGATTGTTTGTTCTGACACGTTATAGATAGCAGCAGCACTGCGATTACTCTATATCTGACCAGATTCAATAGAGGATATAGCGAGCTGGATATCTACTTCATTTAAAGCTAACTGACTAGCGTTGCGTTGAGCCATTATGTATTGAGATGAGAGAGGTGCACAAAGTTGGTGGGGTGCGGCGCTCGCTTGTACGCGGCGCTCGCTTGTAAAACACGTTACTTACGAAGCAAATCTTCCGGCCTGTGCGCTACATACTTACCAAATAAGCGCTTCCAAAACACCAATAAACTTTCGCCAGATTACCACTGTACCAGTAGTGTCCCGTTCCAGCAAACGCTACTAGAGATAAGCCTTTTTCTCACAAGTAGCTTACCTTGTCTTAGCTTTGTTGGTACTCAAATCTGATTGTACAGTACAGTAGTGTTTTATTTCCAAGTTTTGTCCAAGTAGACGTGCTGTCAAGACATGGGCTGGGAAACTGCTTAGTAGAAGTGCGCTCCTTCGTAATTGACATTGAATAACTTGATTTATGTGTTTATTTATTTTACAAAGTGCATTTACTATGCAAACGCATTATCTTCCGCAAAAAGACAATAAAATACACAAATACAACATAAGTAAAAAAAAACACAAGCGGTTCGGTATCCAGACCGCGCTCCATTGTACACAAAGAATGGAGGAAAAAAAATCGTAATATAGACTAGAAAAAGAAAAAAGAGTTGTACATAGTTACAAACTTCGCGGCGACCCAGCATACCAAGGCTCCCTATCTTGGCGCCACCCATGATGTCTTTCCTCGGGTTCATCATCATCATCATCATCATTTCGCGTACCTCGACTCTCGCCACTCAGACGCGCAGTCCCCATGACCTTATCTCTCAGTTCGTCTCTGCCAATGAGGCCGCCCTCGCTGCCCTCGCTATCCCTCACACTCCTTGGCATGCGCTCGGGGTCCCTGACAGCAGCATCCTGGTGGCTTGCGGCCCTTCGACCATTCATGGCTGCAGGCGAGCCAAAGCTTCTCTCAGCAACCATTTCCTCTTTATCGAGCATTTCAGTGACGCCTCTGCCGTTTGCATGCAGAATGATACTTTTCTTGTTGAGCGAGTGTTTGACGGGTTTCTTTGCATTGAAGATGTCGCTGATTTCCTCGAGGGTGCGGCGTCGTGTCTCGACGAAGAAGAAGTAGATGAATACGAATTCGAATATGTCCCAGAAAATGAAGAGGAAGTAGTACTGCGGGTTTTGAAAGATTAGCGTGAGGTGAGGAGAGAGAGGAAAAAGAGGCAACTATACATACCTTCCAGCCAGCCCCTGAAAACGCAATCCCCGTCACAAAAGTATTATAGAAATTCGCAATGTTGACCCAGAAATTGTAAAACGCCATGCCTTTAGCTCGCGACTCGTAGCGCAGACACTCGACGGGATACAATTGCTGTAAAGGAGTGTATCCGACACTGTAAATGAAGCCGCAGATGAAGACAAAGGCAATGACGGCTTTAGCCTGGCCGGGCCGCTTGATCTCGGGGGTTCCGTTGTCGTTGATGTAGATGGGCTTGCCGTCCGGGCCTGTCTTGAGGTTTGTGGCGACGAGGGCGCAGACGATGGCGAAGACGCCGACAAGCAGGGCAGTGGAGACGAGGAGCTGGGGGCGGCGGCCCCAGGAATCCGTGTAGATGGCACCAAATATGGCGCCGCTAAAGGAAACGACGTTTTGCATGCCGTTGTACAGGAGGCGTGTGTGGTTGTCGTTGATGCCGGCGCCTTGCAACATCGTCGGATAATAGTATGAAACTGGTCCATTTCCAGACCATTGTGAGAAGAATGCCATGGCGAGGACTAGCATAGTTCTGTAGCGGGCTTCGCGGGAATTGAACAGCTCGCGGTAGTCCCACCAGCGCTTATCTGAGCCAGTGACGCTGATATCTTCAACCATCTCCTTGTATTCGAGCTTGACAATGGGCGAGTCACGATCACCATCGCCATGTAAGCGGGCCATGGTATCCAGCGCTTCTTCGTGTCGGTCATTGGCGATAAGCCACCTGGGTGTTTCCGGCAGGAAGGGTGAGCACGAGAAGACGATGCCCGCGAAGATGAGTTGAAGCCAGACAGGGATGCGCCACGACTGTGTACCGGGAATATTGCTTGTGCCGTATGGGACAAAGGATCCTGGGATACCACCGACGTACCAAAAGGTATTGAAAATGCCAGTGCAGACACCGCGGTAGGAAGGGTGTGCCATTTCAGAAACATAGGCCGGTCCAGCGGTCGATGTGATGGCGACGCCGAAGCCAAGGACAAAGCGGCCGCCCATGAAGCCACCGAGATTAACACACGTTGCTTGGATACAGGCGCCGACGATGATGATGGAGGTACCGATGAACATTCCCCATTTTCGTCCGCGGAAGTCGGTCGCTGGACCTGCTACAAACGAACCAACCAAGTTGCCAATAGTGTAAATTGCGTACACGATTCCTGTTGTTGGGGTGCCCTCGTCAATGTTGAAGCCAAAGTAGGAACGGTACTGATGGTAGCTGTTGATGGCGCCCATGAGAGATCCATCGTAGCCGTTGATACATGAGTTGAGGGTGGCAATAAACAGGCAAAGGTACAGCTTTTTGGGGCAGTCGGTCAGTATGATATGCGGGGACACCAGACTCGTTCAACGCACCTTGAACATGGACTTTGTCCATGGCCTGACATTTGCCTTTGCCGTTGCATCGGCAAAAGCAACGTTCTGAACCTGACGAATCTGCATGCTGCTGCTGCTGCGCTCGGCATGCGAAATGCGCACCTCGCTCTTGTGCTGCTGATGCATGCTTCTATGCCGAGCGTGTCGCCACCAGAGAATGAGACAATGGGATTATCAAGCGACAAGGCGAGCGGCCCCTGGGGAATGTAACAATGAAGCCGTCTCGATGCCCCAAGAAGCCGACGACGTCGGCACCTGCATGTCAACCACCAACATAAAAAGCAGGAACAGGAACACAGAGGGCTTGTGGGGTGCGTGGAGCATGGCAAGAGAAGCAATTTAATTTAATCAAGCCATGGACGCGATCCATGCATTCGAGAGCTTCTCCCCGGTAGGCAAATCACCCACCAGCAGCACTCAGGCATCCCGGTTCTTAGGCTGCTGCAGACTGGTAGGTTTTGCTTGGTTGCACAGTGCAAGGGGTTGAGCGGGCCCGTCTTGGTGTGGCGCGTGACGGCCGGGTATTTGCACCTATTCAGCCTCGCTTGGGTGTTGGGTGGGAGCAGCGATTGGTGTGCTGCTTATGAGATAGCATGTACCCAATCTGCTGTTGGAGTGGGAGAGCCCTCGGCGGCTGCTGTGCTTGCATCTGACTGCGTCTGTGGCTGGTGTTGGTGGAGATGGACACTTGGACGTCGGGTGTTGGTGTAAGGTAGATGCTAGCAGGCTGGCCTATACCATTGTTAGAGACTGAGACGCCCGGCTGCGCACAAGACTCCGAGGAAAGAGAGAAAAGAGAGCATATCCAGGCCGCCTGGCGTTTCCACGCCGCATCCTTCGTCGCGCAACCCTGCCTGCTGTTTGGTGCGGCGCAGCAACCAGTGCGCCATCACGCGCCTTGACCCAATCCCGAGGAGCTGGCGCGTCGGGCGCGGTAACGAGCATCAGTGAAGCGCGTCGCAAGTGCCGGTGCTAGTCGTAATGAAGACGAGGGGGGTCCTTGTGTGTGTCGGCATGGAGGCATTGGCATGGTAGAAGACGAAGACGGTGGGACCGGACCGTAGCCTCACGCCAGCCGTGGGCCCAGGCTAGCGGTCCGAGGAATCCGGGGAAGAGCAGCCCGAGCAAACCAAACGCGAACAGACCATTGTTTGACATGTTTTCCAACCCTCGCAAGGCTTTGCTGACACAGGCTCACGCTACACGCTGCGTTGCTGGAAGAAGAGCTGCTGACGACCGCTGCATAATGCCCCAGCACGACTGCGACCGCTCCCTCAACATGGCCCTCGTCACGCCATTTTGCCACGCCCGCAATTCAAATCTACGCATATTGACCCCCACCATGCCTCCCAATATCACGCCCCTGCACATACCGATGCATCCCCCACAAGACCCCAAGATCTACATGCCGTGTGATCACTGGCATTCGGCGGCCCAGATACACTGTCCAGGGTTGCGGGCCACTTGTGCACGCCAACGGCCCTTCGAGAACACACGGCACTCAACATGCGACACGTCATAGCACGCAAGCGTACGGCATAGAAAGAAGAACCATCTGGCTATTATACATGCATCCTTAGTCTAAAGTAGGCAGTGGGGAAAGGTGACTCTACAAGCCTCCCTACAACCTGTGATGAATGCAAACGCTGCCGTCGTCCCCTGCCACGCACACACTATCCTCTCTTTACCCGGTTACTCGTCATCGTCGGGGTTAGTGTCCGACTCGTACATGAACTCGCTCGGGGTTGATGCTTCGGCCTCGCCTTCGTACACCATATTGTCAGTGACCGGCGCTGCTGCAGTTGTTACCGAAACGCCTTCTGGTGCTTGCTCGCCAGACGAGCCGGACGCGCCAGGGGCAGGTGCAGGTGCAGCCTTCTTTACCTTGAGCTCCAGGAGCGTCTTCGGCTCTGAAGGCTTGGTGTCGATGAGAAGGATGACACCAAGAGTTGGCTGCAAATACGTTAGCCTGCGTGCCCCGCCTACACATTGTATACACCTTACCTTCTTGACTGGTACATATCGCTCACTCGGGAAGCTAATGTACTTGGTTTGTGGCGGCAGTACACGCGACATGTTCTCCAGCTCGTAGCCAACCTTCTCCTTTTCCGCCTTCTTCTTCGACGACGACTCGACAGCCTGTCCTCCCTCGGCCTTGTCAGCGTCTTCCTTCTTGGACTCTTCATCAACCTCCATCTTGTCGTCGTCGCCCGATGGCTTGGGTGTCGTGGGCGTGTGGTCGACGTCCATGCTTTCCCTCCGCCTTTGACGCTCCTTGACCATCCGTCGTCGCTTATCTTGCGCCGTCGTCGACAAGACCGCAGTCTTGATCTTCTCCGGCGCCTCCTCTGCCTTGACTTCTGCGTCTGGAGGGTAGTCGAACATGCTTGGTCGCGTGTTGCTGTGGAACTTGAACGATGGGATCTCCAGCTCCTGGTCGAGGCCAATGACCGCGGTAGGCGTGAAGCTGAGAGACAAGAAGTGCGTCAAAGGGAACCAGTACCAGTACTGGGTGAAGACAGCCATGCCGACAATGGCAGCCATGTTCAGATTGCCAGTCGGCGTCTGCAGACCAATTGTGCAATTCCGGCCTCCAGCATCGATGATACCGAGAGCAAGAGCGCATCCAAACTTGGCCATGGCGTCTTCATGACGGTCGCCAATAACCTTGGCCAGCTGCTTGCGGATCGATGCTACCTTGGGGTTCATCGCCTCGTTTTGCTGTACCATGATCATGGACAGCGCGATCAAAGCACCCTGGCGAACAAAGTCGGTAGAGTCCTTCATCATGGGCTCAAGGAGATCAACGGCCTCGGGAAGCCCAGTTCCAGCGCACGCGATACCGAGAGCCATCGTGGCTCCGTAGCGGACATGAGGGTTGTACGACTCGGCAAGGAGTTCGACCATGCGAGGAACACTGCCAGGCTTCCGGAAAAGGATAAAGCCCAAGCTCATGACGGCGACTCGTCGTACATCGTCGCTCACATCACTGACTGCAACATGCAACAATCTTCGGACAGCCTTGTTGCTGCCTGTGCCGCAGTATGCCAGAGCAATGGTCATGATTCCTCCGTATCGCAGCGTTGGGTCTGGGTCGTCGAGAAGACCGTTGATAAGCTCATCGGCTGCCTCTTGGCGGCCATACATGATAAGCGCCATACCCATGGCAAGACCCCGGACAATCTTCTCGTGCTGCGTGTCATGCGCATACTGAATCATGTCTTCGAGTGCCTTGATGTTGCCAGTGCCCAGCATGACGAGACCCATCGACAGACCGACGGCTTCACCGTTGATGGCAGAGTCGGTGTACAGTACGTTCTTGAATGCCTCAAAGATCTCCTCAGAGCCAGTGGCCATGCCTGCGACACCAAGACCCAGCGCACCACCATGCTGGATGACTTCTTCGGACGCATTTTGGAATTGCTTCAGGAGCAAGTCCAGAACGTTGCTTCCGTGGTTGGCGTAGATCAGACCAAGGGCATACAATGATCCACCTTGCTCGTAGTGCGAGCCTGACGAAACACTGTCCTTGGGTAGGTATGGCTCCAGGAGCTTCTGGCCCTGGGTAATGTTGCCGCGGTGAATGACACCCAAAGCAGCGGTTGCTGAGAACTTTGACCAATTGACCGCCTTTCCTAACCACTCCAAGTTCTCTCGGAAAAATGTGTCGTTGGTGGTGCCTGCATTCATGAAAGCGTTCGCAAAGGTGACACTCGAGTGGAAAATCGAGTTTCTTGCCTCCAAGCTGTCGCGAACCTTGTTCAAGATAGCCTTGTCTGTGCGGTTGTTCCTGTACAAGAACTCGAGGTTGAGCTCGATGCTCTTTGTTCCACGGAGAATATAGCGTACAGAGTCGAACGCCTTGAGTTGCTCCTCGCTGAAGTCTGACTCCTTTGCATGTCCGGCTGAGACATTGCTGGTGTCAGCATTCGCAAGCAGGGAATCTGATTCGCCTGCTTCGTTTGACCGAGACTTTTGGATATCGCCGTTAGCGGCGGTCTCGTCCTTCTCAGCAGCAGGCAGCTCTTCCATGACCTTGCTCAGGAACTCTTGTGTACCGTTCTCGTAAAGATCAAACGAGATCTGGTATGCGACAGCACGCGACTTGTCGTCGCCACGCTCAATGAGCTGGCGAACAAGTTTGGAAGCGAGACCATGCTGGTTAAGATAGACGACGCATTTAGCAATGGAAAAATAATCGGGGTTTGGAATCTGGTCGTCGTTGAGTAGATCCAGGATCAGGCGAAGAATCTCGTTCCTCAGGCCACGCTCTTGTACAACGTTCATGCAGATGTCGAGAACGTACTCCATCAAGTCTTCGCTCTGTGCGGACGGTTGCGCAGGCTTCTTGCCCTGCTTCTTTCCATCCTGGCTTGCTCGGACTATCGATTCGCGCAAGACTTCCAGATTTCGCGCCTCGATGGCGATTCCTACAACCTGCTTGTAGTTGCCACTCTCGTAGCAACTCTCAAATATCCGCTTTACCGTGCTGTGTAGGTTCTTCTGCACGTTTCGCTGCAGTACCATCGGAGTAGGGTGTGCTCCAGGTACACCCGCATTGCCTCCGCCGGGCACGGTGGGGTCGAATGTGGACGAGTCCTCCCGAGAGAGGAGCGACTTGGATGGCAACGCGGACTGTGAGAAGGGCGTTATCGGCGACGCCAAGCTAGCTGAAGTGCTGGCCCCGCCAGCAGCGTTTCCGGAAAACGATGTGCTCAGCTGTGGGGGAGCTTGGCTCGCCTTGCTCACTGGCGTCGGGGGGTTGTGCATAACTGACAGCGCAATGTACGTATCTAAGCATTTTGCTACAAAAAAGCAAGTCAGCCATCGATTTCCAAGCGACAACAAGCCCAATGCTTCAAAGGGGAGGAGGAACAGGGTTCAAGGACCGGCTCCAATGATTGTGGTGTCTTACCCAGTATCGTCTCCTCAAACTCCGCGGCCTTGTGGATGTCGAAAAGCTTGCCCGCACCCAGCGCGAAGACCATGCTCTCATTGTACTCTTGCAGCTGGTAGTATACCTTTGCCGCGACTAGGGCCGCAAGCTCTCGCTCGGGAAACGACTCATCTTCATAGAGGGCTTCACTGTCAGGCAACCACGTTAGCAGCTGGACTGTGACGATGCCTTTCCCAACAAAAAGTGCGTGACAGCATATCGGAGCTTCTTACATTTGACTGACCGAGCCCGCGACCTCTGGCCACAGCAAGTCGATCTCCTCGTTCAGCCGCTGGAGAGCGAACGAGCGCAGGGCTGGATCTGGCTCGGAGAGGTAGCCCACCACACCGGCGGCAGATGTAAGGCCGACCATTGTGTTGTGCTTGGCAGAAACAAAACGGGTGTCAATGTTGGTGAATGGCCGTCCGCGATACTCAAGAGAGAGGGAGCTGTTGCGGAAGTGGGTGGAAGGCGATGGAGCTGCGCAGTGGCGCCTGCGGGCTTAGCCTGCGGTCAAAGGATGAGGTGGGGCCGTGTTGCGTGGGGGATCTATAGACGCGGTCGCAGTGAAAGAGAGACGAAGATGTAAAGTGGGAGAGAGGTTGATGGGGGATGGCGAGACGCCGTCGTGGGTTGTGTTCGGGGATCGTGTACGTGATGGTCTAAACACAGCTCGTGCGGAAGCGGCGACCCTGGTCCACTCAACATGACATAATACGCTAGCTGCACATCACTCCCACGATAAGCTCCCGACGCGCTGCACGCCTCACTTGGGGACTGGGCATCAGAGGAGGCTTTGTTTGTTTGTTAGGAATAATGTTCTCGTGAGAATTGCGGAACTGGCACAACTGGTGATGATTCACATGACTGGGCGGTGGTGGTCAAAGCAGCAAGTCACCGTACGGCTGAAAGCAGTGTAGTGAGAACCGGGTATCGTGTTTTAAAAAAGCACTAAATAACTCCTGACGATGCTGGGTCCCAAGTGTGGTGCTTCGTCGTATATCTTCCAAACGCCCAGGATGAAATGATGTTAATATTACAGTCTGCAGGCCGTTCAAGCACCAGGGCCAGCGGGCGTAATCTCACGCGACAAGACTCGCAAGTTGTTCATCATGCCGCTGATCAAGCTCTCGAACTTGGTGGGCTCTTTCCGCCGAATCTTGTCTGCCTCTGCTATAAGCACGCCAGAGTCAAGCTCCAGCTCCAGCTCGTGGTTCTTGCTCGGCCCTTGCGAAACTTGCGTAAGATCGACCTGGTAGGCGCCCAGCCACGAGTATGACATGCGATCCTTTTGCCGTTGCATGCCCTCGGCCGTCTTGCCGCTCTCAACGGCCGGCACAAGACTCTCAACGGGGCCTGGAAAGTCGATTTCCAGGTTGATGCCAATGCGGTAGTCCCACTCTGTTCTCGGCGAGCTGACTTCGAGGTTGGCTATCCGGTGTTTGATGATGGCACGCAGGAACTCGCCAGTGTTTTTGTCGCGCGTGACGCGAACCCGCTGGCGGCCGCCGGCTGCGCTGATGAGACGCTGGACTATCGGGTTCAGCTGGCTAAAGCCTTGCTGGTCGAGCTCGTAGAACATGTCCGTCTCGTAGGTATGCCGGTAATTGATTGGGGGCCGCGGGGCGCCCGGCGCTTTCGACTGCTGCACTTGAGCATTGAGAAACAAGTTCATACGCTTGTGTTGTTGCGCCGTCATGGTACTCTCAAACTTAACCTCGAGGACCTCGGTATTCAAAACAGTCTCTGTGCGCCAAAACCCACGGAGTCGCTGATCCGTCTGCTTGTCTATGATCTGGCCCCAGCGCGCTTCCACCTCCAATTGCACCTTGGGGTCGGCGACGGCGTTGCGCACGACCTCGTTGTTGACAGCCGTGTTCCATATGAAGTCGCATACGGTGCGTGACACGTCGTCGTAGACGTGGGCGTCGTTGGAAATGGGGCGCTCGAAGCCGGCCAGCTCGCGGGAGGCCATGGCTGGGGGCGGAGGGCCGGCCTCGAGCGACGAATGGCCGTTTCGCTCGGCCATGGGCGACGGCTGGGGGCGCGGTGGAGGAGGCTGCGCGTGCGGATGGGATGGAGCTGGCGGCGGCGGCGGCGGCGGACGCGCCTGTTGGCGCTGCTGGTCTTGCAGCTGCTTGAGCTTGGGCGGGAGTTCTTCGCCCTCGCGATAGGCCCAGATGGGCTTTGGGTCGTGGCGCTTGCGCTTGAGCGACATCTGCTTATGTTTGGTTTTAGGCGGCGGCGTAGGCAGCGTTGCGGCAAAGGGGACGGGTGACGAGGCGGCGGTGGAATGGGGGTTGGAGAGTGAAAGTGAACGACGCGGCAACACCGTTGCGTCGCCATCATGATTCACTAGCGCAGATATATCCATGGTGGGTGTGGTAGGGTTGTGCGTCGGTCAATGTACTCACCATTGTGTCGTCGAGGCTAGTGTTGCTGGCGCACGGCCCCGTGAGCAGAGTGACCCTGGCTTCGTCGTGGCAGAGCCTCTCGCGCTCGATTGGATGTGCTTCTAGGCTTTGTCGTGCCTAGCATGTACCCGTCACTTGGCCGGATTGAGATGAGAGCGTAAGGTGTTCATTAAGACATCTGCCTGCCTCCGCTAGTGTCTACTCCAAATCTTGTGTTCATGCGCCAGACCGTCATTTGCTTTGACGAGTCATGTATATGCACTTTGTGCAGCCCTCTCTCCACGCGTTCACCCCCCTCCCCCCTTCTGGCAAATATAGATGACGCCCCGTCCCAGCCTATATTTATGCGTCCTGGTCAAGGCCCAGGTCTTCCTGCGCCGGCACGATGCGCAGTGTGTTTGTGTGGCCCATGCCGCCTCTCCAGCCTTGCACACACACGACCGGATCACCCTTGCTAAGCACTCCGAGCTTAATCGCATTCATGATACCCCACTTCAGCCGGCGGTCCACGTCCTCCTGCCATGGCTCCGTCTTGAAGTCTGGCTTCTCCTCGGGGAAATAGAATGGGTACACACCGCGGTACAGGTGCGAGTACTGCTCGCACGTTAGTCGTGGGGATTCCTCGTATTCGGGGAAAAACTTACCCTAGCCGCCATGGCGTTTCGCGTAACCATGATGATGGGGCAAACTGGACGGTACTTGGACACCAGGCGCGCCGTAGTACCACTGGCACACGCACATTAGTAATTGCACCCGCACAAACTTTGGGGCCTCTCACCTTGTCGTCAGGACCAAGATGGCTCCGGCATTCTGCTCCAGACTAGCGCTGACGGCTGCCATGGCGCAGGTCTCCGTGGTAGGGCAGGGCACAGGCGCGAGCTTCCTCAGCTCGTCGAATGCGTTGACGTATGGAATCGCAACTTCAGCGAGCAGGCATGTCTCGTGCATCATGGTAACGGCCTCGACGGGGTAGTCGCCCTTTGCCGTCTCGCCCGACAACATGACACAGTCGGCACCGTCAAGCACAGCGTTGCCCACGTCGCTCACCTCGGCACGAGTTGGGCGTGGGTTGTACGTCATTGACTCCAGCATCTGCGTTGCGCAGATGACGGGCTTGCCGGCAATGTTGCACTTGGTAATCATCATCTTCTGTGCAATGAAGACCTGGCTGGGAGGAATCTCGATACCAAGGTCACCACGGGCAACCATGACACCGTCTGTCTCCCTCAGAATCTCATCAAAGTTGTTCACACCCTGCTGGTTCTCGACCTTGGCAATGATCTGGATGTCCTTGCCCTCCTCGCCGAGCACCTCACGGATAGCGGTGATGTCACTGCCGCGGCGGATAAACGACGCAAAGATCATGTCGACCTTGTTCTTGACACCGAACTTGAGATCGGCCTTGTCCTTCTCCGACAGCGGGGGAAGATCAATGTCCGTCTTGGGCAGGTTCACACCTTTCCTCGACGAGATCTTGCCGTTGTTGACACACTTGCACTTGAGCGTCTTGTCGTCAACAATCTCGAGCACCTCGAACGAGAGCACACCGTCGTCGACGTAGATTGTGCGGCCGACCTCAATCACCTTGGTGATGTTCTTGTAGTCGACGTACATGTTCTTGTCGTCAGAAGCCGTGGCGTATTGCTCATCGGTCGTGATGTTTATGACGGCGCCAGCCTTGATGGGGATATCGGCATCGCCCACGGTGTTACCCGTGCGGATCTCGGGGCCCTTGGTGTCGAGGGCAATGGCAAGCGGCCTGCCGGGCTGTGTCCTCTCGGCCTCGCGCGCATTGTCAATGACAGACTGGTGGTACTCGTACGAGCCATGGGAGAAGTTCATGCGGACGACATTGAGACCGACTTTGCGGAGCGAGTTGATCTTCTCGGCCGAGTTGGTCTTGGGGCCAATGGTGCAGATGATGGAGGTTCTCCGGTACTGCTTGGCCGGCGTGTACTCAGTGTTGAGCTGGCTGAGCCACTCGATCCTGGTCCTGCCGGAGTTGAGGTGGTCTAGACTATCGTGGTGTCAGTGATGTGTAGCATGGCGCGGCGCAGCCACCAGTATGCATGTATGCCGGCTTGCACCCAGCATTGCCATTGCCATTGCAAGCCGTGTGTAAAAAGACGGGCTGTACGTACGCGTTCGCCATTGTCTACGTCTAGTAGTATGTGGGAAGAGGATGGAAGAAGGGCGGAGAGGCAGAAGAGGTCTTGTGAAGCGAGAAGACAAAGTCGCTGCAGCGGAGTGCGGGGCCGGTCGAGCAGCGTTCAAGGGCACTCTTATTGGAACGGTGGCGGCTGCAGAGCAGGAGGAGGAAGAGGGAAAGAGGAGGGCAATGTGGCTCCAGGAGAATGGCGCGCGACGAGTTTATCTTGTGCTGCAGCCGGGCTACGGGTTTTGTTGGCTGTTGAGCGTGTTTTGGAGGGGCATTAGCAGCGGCGCTAGTAATGCTGCTTTAGTACGTGGGGCGGTGCCCTGAGCGGCGGCGGCACGTTTGGATACAAGAATTGGAAACAGCATGGGATGCAGCGCAGGGCTTGGAAAAAAAGAGTGGGCTTAATAACAGAGTTTCGTCCGCGCTGACCGGCCTGCTGATCAGATGGTTTGATCCTCCAAGTCCAGACCCATGGTGGTTGCTAGCCACGCCCAGTGCTGCCTCGAAACCACCCACGTTGCAGCGCCATTGCACCCCAAGCATCCCGCCCAGATAAGCCCTCGCACGCAAGCTGCTGCTCAGGCAAATTGGCAATCGCCACACCGGAGGCCCATGTTCGTCTGGCGGCGCTGGCTGTTAGTGGCTCCTCGGGGCGGCGTCGAGTTTCGAAGCGCGGCCGGCTGCTGGCGTCCCGCCGTGTTTTTTCGTTGTTTTTTTCCTGCAGTGGTTCTGCCCGCGTGGAGTTGGGTCGCGGCCCTGGCAGCTGGTGGGAGGGGCCATGGGGGGCAGAGGCCTGGTTATATATCAGCTGGCTGTATCGTGGCCCGCTCCTACATCACCCGCGGCTGCTCCGCATGGCCGTGATGCCCGAGGTTCAAAGAGAATGTGGTTGCCGGCCTGCGCCTGGAGCGAGCACGAGGCGCTCGAGGGCGAGGGTAGGCTGTAGGTGCAGGCCGCGTCCCATGTCGCCGCCGGTATGCACCACCAAGCAGCAGCAGCAGCAGCAGCAGGCCATGTGTAGTCGTCACCTCTGCGAACACACGAGTAATGCATGGCACGACCGGTAGTCAGACGCTCCTCCACCTTGGCCCGCTGCCCCTACACCTAGTCGCTGGTAATAGCCGTCAGTCCAGACGCCCCGGACAAGGGAGCCCTGGTGTCGCATGCCAGCGCAATCACATGCGCCGAGTGACTAAGGTCCGGTAAAGGCACCAGCCACACACGACTCTCCACCTCTCTACACCGCATCCTTCCCCCCAAACACCCTCGCCCACTGCAACAACACCCATAGCCGAACACGCCATCTGAACAGCGATCGCCCGCCCTTCCTCCCCCATAACCTAGCTCCGCACCGACCCGTACACTCCACACCCTGCCCAATATGGTTGTACGTAGCCCGCTCCGCCTCCGCCTCCGCGCCCGTCGCTCCGCCGAGTCGCATTCTCAGACGCTTACACTCACCTCCAGCTTGGCAAAGTCGCACACTACGCCTTTGATGCCGTGCTAAGTACGTGCACACGGCGAGCCCACCCCATCTCCCAAACCCGCAGCTGACGCCGTTACAGTCTCCGCCTTCCTCGCCGGCGTCCGACGCTCAACTGGCCTCACGTATGTCCGCCCGCCCCTTGTCCGTTTCCTTCTTTGCCAGCGCAGCCGACCAAGCCCCTCTGCGTCGAGCACAACACACACACACACACACACACACGCCCGCCCGCCCCATGAATCGCCGCCGTTGAACACAAAAGTCTAGAGCTAAAGCTAAACCCCAGACCCAGTCTCAAGTCAGATTCCCTCAGCGAAAACCCCAGCGCCCAAAAGTGGTTTGAAAACTACCTCTGGGTCGGCGAGACCGTCATGGACCAGAGCGTCGCCTTTTTCGGTGCGAGCTCATACTTTGAGCGCAAGCGGTAGACGGTCCTCCCCACATACGTAGCACCTCGAGCGGAGAGCAGTTGGGCAATCGAGAGAGACAGGGAAGGCGACCCTTGCGGAAACAGAGTCTGCGGGGGCGGAAGGAAGCTTAACCCGTTCCGAGTGGAAAACGAAAATCAAAAAGAAAAAAAGCAAGGAAGGAAAGAGACACAGGCTACGAGAGAAGCGTGGAGACGTGGACATGGTCTGTGGAGGAATGCATGGCTGGGGTATAGCGCACTACGACTCGGTACGGGACGAGGAGCGTAGACGATGCGGACTCGAATCTTTTTTTTTTCGTTTCGCTCTGTAGGCGGACGGCGTTGGAGGCGCTAATCTCATCGTCGGATTCAACGCTACGAATGTTCGCCGTTTGCATGATGTCGACGCTCTGCTTGCTCCATGTGACCTAACATTGCTACTTGTAACCATCTGCTTGGCTATCATACTCTGCAGACGACACGACACGGCACGACACGAGACTAAACTAAACGCTTCCTAACCCAGCCATGCTTCCCCCGCATGCAAAGTAGACGGTTACGTCCTCCGCTTGAACCTGAACCCAGTCTCCTCATCATCGCTCTCCTCATCCCTCCGCCCAAACCTCCCTTTCTTGGCAGGCGGTCCGCTCGCCACTCCCGATCCCCTCTTCCTGCCCCTCTGCGTCTGCGTCGCTTCAAGCTGCGTCTCGGCAATGCGCTGGGTCCTCCCGCTACTCCGCTGCGTGCGCTCTCCAGGCACTTCCTCGTCGTCGGGCCCGCTGTCCTCGACATTGATAATCTCGTGCCGAGGCTGAGACTGCGATGCGTGCTTCCGGCGATCGAAGCCGCCGACCTCCGGTTCGGAGTCCGAGGCGTCTGCCCGACGACGGTCATGGCGGTCTCGGCGGCTCTCGAGCGACCGCGACGAGGGCTCGACGTCTTCGAGGAAGAAGGCGTCGCCAATGCCAAAACCCTTCTTCGGCGGTGCCTCTTCCAGCGTCACAATGACCTTGTGTGCTTGAACGCCGTGCTCGGCTCCGCGACGACGGAACTTTTTGAAATTCTTCCGACCGTTCCACTCGGGATTCCAGCGCTCGCTGTTGACTCTGCCGTGGTTCCGCGCCGTGTCTCTGTTCCGTCGGGGTAAGATGTCCATTTCCTCGACTTGTGCCAAGTTCTTGAGCTCGGAGATGTCGATGCCTTGGAGCGCCTCCCGCAGGTTCTCCTCATCCGCTTTGCGCCGATCCTCCTCTTCTTTGATCCGCTGCCGCGTGTGTTCACGGATGTTGATGTCTTTCTCCGCCCGGGCCTTGATTTTGTTTAGTCGCGCCAGTGCATCTACGCCTTTGGTGTTTGACTTTTGCACCGGTCCGCCTCCGGGCTCGACAGAGGCCGACAGAGCCCGAGTGGCTGCTCGTTGCTTTCTCATCTTTGCCGCAGTCGGGAATAGGGCGTCCATTTGTTCCTCCTTTTCAACACTATCTTGGACGTGTGATTGGGGAGTGGACTGGGACGCTATCATTATTGGTGCCATGTGAGTAGCCTGCTGCACATTTTCCGCTTGAGCATTCTCGACCTTGACCTTCTTCTTCGGGATCGGTTCGTCATCGTCAAAACCAGTGAAGCGGCTAGTCTTGGGTCGCTGCATTCGTTTCCGTGGGTTCGTCTTTGCAGGTTCTTCTGCTGGCGTCGTACTCTCTTCTGCGACTCGCAAAGGTGTTGCAGACCCAGACGTGGGAGTTCGTGCACGCACAGAATGTCGAGTTACAGCAGAGTCTGGTGCAGATGCAGTTGATGGCACCTCAATAACTTCTGCAGGTGGTCGTTGAAGTGGTGCTCGGTCTTTTGTGATAATCACATCAAGAAACTCGTTCTGCAAGATGGAGCGTTGACCCAGTGTTCGATCAACTCCAGTCACAAAGCTAGCAGCCCATTCTTCCATTGCTTCAGGGTAAGCTGGCAACCGCACTGTTATAACGGGAAGCTTGTCGCCAGGCTTGCCACGTCGTTTCTTGCCCGCGACGCTATGCACGTAGTCGACATATTCGTCCACTGTTGTTTCGCCTGGCCGGACGTCATATAGCAACGCCTTGCCACCTCCACCAGTGACAAACTCAAGCAAGCTACTGTACTGGCCTTGATCCAGAAAAACAAACGTGAGGCCTGAGAAGACCTCTGATCTTGATGGATCGGGCAGCAGCATTTCCTGTGGGCGGGCGACTGGCTCTGCACCTGCTGCTGGTATGTAGTCCTTCTCAGCTGGCCACCAACTGTCAAAGTCCTCTTCCAGTTTTGAAGGTATATAGTTTTGTTCCTCGTCGACCGATGCTGTTGCCACACGTAGAATTGCTTCGAGGAATTCTGCAGTGACAATGTGTTTGCCAGACGTCAGGCCCGAGAGGACTTTGGGCAGGTTGCGTTTCGCTGATACAACATGGGTTGTCTTGTCGAATACGAAATCGGTTGTCGTCTTGATATCGAGAGAGTGTAATTGCGTGCTACGCGCTTTGCCGTCCCTCGACTCCTTGGACGCATAGGTACACACCATTGGGCGCCAGACAATCTTGAATGGCGGATAGCCTTGCGCCAACCGAATGGTATGCTCTGTTCCCTTCAGTATCTCGCTACTGTATGTAACCGTCCCATCTTCTGCCTTCTGGCTCTTCAGCGTATTCTTCTCATCAATTGTCGTTCCTTGCCGGCAGCTGAGATCAGTAACCTCGATTTGCGACCTTTTGTGAAGCTTGGTGCCGTCCTCTGGTGCCACCTCGTAGACCTTGAGCATGACATGCTTTCGCGACACCGCCTTGTTGTCAATCTTCCAGTTCCTCCCCTGTGGGCCATCTTTATCAGCAGACCTGGTCCGACCGAAGAGCTGCTGTGACCCCGGGCGCAGCCATACGCGCTTCCCTCCAAAGAGGCTCTCGTGCTCCAAGAACCACATTGCTGCGGTCTGTGGTGGAGCGGCTTATCAATAACCGGGAGGCAGTTTGTTCGATGTATTGCGCATTTCGGCTCTCATAGGAGATCTGCGCTCGTTCTCGGGGGGTGATGTGGCCGACGTGTGCCTAGCGGGCTGAAGTGCGCGGGTCGTCGAGTGCTGACGCGCTGTCATGTGAGACGCTAGCGCGGCAGTTCCCCTCCACTTCCGCCAACCGCTGTCTATAGTAGTCACCACCAATCCGACTCTCTTTTGTGACAATCTGTGAATACTCATGCATCTGCCTATTTTATGTTCACTCTGGCCTCAGAAATTCAGAAAATTCGCAAGGGACATTTGTATTCACTGTACATCTACGTATCTACTCCTTCGTCACCCCTTCAAGCCCAAAGACAAATTACAGAGCCTTTGAACTTTGTGTCGTGCAAAATACTGACGCGCCAGTTAACTGTCTGGCATATCCATCGCTAGACATTGTTCATACACATCATCTCCCGACCTGCAACAAAGAAATTCGTCGTTGTACCTTCAAACTCCCACCATTCATATCAGAAACATATTTCTCAAGTATCATCAAGTCATCAGACGATGGAAGACCACTTTGAAAACCATTCATCCACCCCTTCTCTCCTTCGTCACACCTTTTCCTGGGTTCCATTTTGCAGAACTTCCCGTCTGGCTTGCATGGCCTGTTTAGCGGCAGCGTTGTTTTCGCGCTCCTTCTGGATCCGTTCGGCATACTTGCTTCGACCCCTGATCTTTGGTCCTGATCTGTAAATCCAGAATACCGGAATACAAGTGCAGACTGAGATTGCAAAGAGCACCCAAGTCGAATTCACGACACCAAGGTTCTTGTACATTGGGCCGGTATAGAAGGAGCAGATACCAGCAAGGACGTCTCTAGCAAAGCCGTTGCCACCGGTAGCCGAAGCAGAATACTCACCTCCGTAAGCGGCTACCATGTAATCGATCGTAGCAAAGTAGATGGCGAGATTGGCGCATCCTATGAGTACTGCGAAGATGAGCGGTGCGATCCAGGGAAGAGGCGGGCCAGTCACAACGAAGGCTGATCCGAGTAGACCAATTGGCAGTAGCAGCACAATCCAGCGGAGAGCTGATAGACGACTCTCAGGACTGAGTACCGTGCCCCTCTTGCGCATTTGGTTGTGGCGGCGAATGACGGGGAAGTATATGGCTGCCGCCAGCCAGTAGCCGATGAAGAGAGCAAACAGTGCAAGACCGAGCTGGCTGGGTGTGAATCCCCACCCAGACGTGCCAAAGACAAAGCCGTACGATTCTAGGAAGCTGAAGATGAGCGCGTCGCTGAACCCACTGAGCAGCGACAAGAAGCCAACAATTGGTTCGCAGATGAGCATCTTGTACGGACGGCCCATGACGCTTCCTACCTTGTTCCAATTGAGCTTTTCGTGTTCAGTGGGCCCAACAACATTGTCGTCTGGATTTTGCTTGCGTCTTCTCTTCGCTTCTCTGTTGAGCATAATCGTGGCTCTAGTTTCCGGGACGTAGCAGGCATGGATGATCTGGACAGTGGCTCCAAGCATAAGCTGAATCCAGAAGTTCCAGCGCCAGTTAAGGTACTGCTCAATCGGGCCACCGCAAATGCCACCGATGACTAGCAAGTATTAGTATACAAAATTCAACCGCAAATGGGGGAGTCGACGTACCTGAACCCAGACAGCTCCACAGACCGACCCAGAGAATTGGCAATTGCTGATCTTCAGGGTCAAACATGTCTGCAACCATGCCGAGAGTCACAGAGCCGCCTGCCGAGCAGAGACCTCCAAGGAGACGTGCAGCCAGTACCTGGTACCAGGAGGTACTGGCACCGGCAAGTATTTGCCACAAGTTGACGGTGAACAACGACAGCTGCATGATCGGCCAGCGGCCAAACTCCTCAGACCAAGGTGCCCAAAGCTCACATCCAAGCCCGTACAAGATCAAGAACCAAGCCATTCCGGCCCTGGCGTTGGTGAAGTGGTTGGTCCCGAGGTTGTAGTGAGCGTTGAGGCCGTCAATAGCATTGGAGTAGACGGCTGCGTTGAAGTCTGTCTCATGTCAGTCTAGGAGCTTCAATACTGCGGAGATGAATCAAGCCACTTACTCATACTGGTCTGGCACAGGCCCACAACAGTCAAGATCTGCCACTTCTTCTTTGTAGAGAATATGTATCCTGTTTTCTCTACACTATTCGCTTCGTTAAGCGTGTGGGGCTCACTGGAATCAGCTTCGGTGCTGCGTGTCGGCATCATCTCTATTTCGTTGTCTGCTGTCTTCTTGGGCTGAGCAGATGCGCTCGAGCTTGCGTCGCTTCCATTCCTGACGTAAGTGGCCATGGTCTGTATGGTATTAGTCAATACATTTTATGATCTTTGTCTGAAAGGGAGAAAACACACCGGCTATGTTGTAAGGCAGAGAACACACTGGCTGTATTGTAAGGCTGTCTTTGGAAGTTTTGTTTGAAGTGGTGAGGAGTAGTTGTGGGATCACTTGTCACACCGTGAAAGGACTTGAAAGATGAAAGATGGGGACGTGGAAGCTTTATGAATCGTGATGTCCAGGGCTGAGCCGAAAATTCCTGAACAGCCGGCTCGAGACTTGGTTGTGTCGAATACATAAACTTTTCAAACGTATGTGCAATACAAAGCACTGCTGTGGAAGAAAGCGCGACGGCCCGCAATCAGAACCATGGTTCCAACAACCCCCCCTGGCATAGCAACTGAAACAATTCCCGCGCTTTGATCAGACCTATGGTTCTACATCTTCTGTACCTTCTTCTTTTACTAATCGAGTGCAAATATTGGTCGAAGATGAATTGTAATACCGCTCGAAAATAAAAATAAAAATCAAGCAAAATGTGTATATCCACCTCACACTGCACCAACAATCAGCTCCTTCCCTATTACAGCAATCTTATTCACACTAATACAACTAGTGAAGAATTACATCCCCCCCTTCCTTTCTCAAGCGGAGAACAAAAACTCCCTCCAGATTCCATATTGCAAGTACATGATGCATGCAAACCAAGGCCCGCTCCCCTCAAAAATAGCGTACCACAACCCCCCCACAAACATGCGCATAATCCCCCCACCCCGCAACTTTCCCCCGCCCCCCATTGTACCCCGGAAAACCCTTTGTACCACAGATATATTCACACTAAATGCAATTGGTGCATGTACCGGCTGCGATCGTCAACTGCAGGTCGGCTTCTCATGTGACCTGCACAGCCCCTTTGTAGCTTCTTCCCTTATCCCTGTGATTCGGCCGTACGGCTCATGCTGATATCATCGTCGTCTTCGGTCCACTCCGACTCCGACTCGCACATGCTGTGTTCGCCTGTCCAGGGGCGCAGCGGCGTCCAGGCCTTGCCTCGCTTGGCTTCGTACTCTCGCTTGAGCGCCTGGAAATGCTGTTCGAGTGCTGATTCGAGCGAGTTCAACGCCCGGTGCTCGTCCTGTGTGCGGCTGTGGAGGACGTTGTTGTGCGTGGTGGGGCTCGACGCGGTGTTGGCGTCCATGGGATAGGGTACGTTTTGACGGGGGGTGGAGAGCGCTTGTATGTGTCGATTGGAATAGCGAAGTTTCTTACTTCTTCTTGGCTTGGTATAGGTGTTGGAATGGGCTTTGCGTTTTATATGATGCTCGGATTTATGGTGCAGTACTCCAACTGTCTTTATGGTTAGTATATACAACTCTTCGTCTTCACACTGGTTTCGCTAGTTCCTCAGTGTGCTGTTCACAGTATATAGTGCGATGGATTTCGTGGGACTGTGTTGGCTTTTTGACTTTGCTCTATGTTTTGCCACGACGTGGACTGACACGTTACGATGGGTAAACATGATGCAAGCGAGATTGAAAGCAAGCATGGAATAAAGGTCCTTTGTCCCTGTTCGTTGTTGAGAGATTGTTAGCGATGCGATTGTGTGTGTTTGTGTAAACAGACAACCATGGTGTCGTGCTTAGGAAGAGTGATACTAGATTATATTACATTATATGTGATTGGAAATATGTATGTACTTGTATTGTCAAACTCGATCTGCCCATGCACTGTCAACGGACTGTCGTGAGATGGGCATCTCTCCATGCTCTGCGAGATAAAGGGGTAAGTAAGAGAATGGCAGTGGAAAACTCCATCACTTTTTGGTCATTACGAGGATCAATTGATGAAATTAACTAATTTCGTTAGCTCTAGCAAGCTCTGATTAATCGTGGCCATCAAACACAGTAAGATGAACAAGGATTGAGATACCTGTCCTGACCCTGCCACAATGGCATTGAAACATGCCTAGTGGAGGCTTGGATATCTCCCAGATAGCCGAATTAACTTGGTTCTCCCAAATACCGACATATTTCTACTTGTTGGGAAATTGACTGTCGATCACACTTGAGCAGAGTGAACAGCACGTCACATGCTGCGTACATGTTAGTCAGCGAAAAGGGAAAGGTGCAGCTATGCAGAAGTGCCGAATAGCGGCCTAACGGACCGTTGCGGTACCGTCTGAGCTGATACAAGAATCGTGATAAGGGTCGTGCTCGAGACGGAAGCGTTGTGTCATTGATGCAAGCACACGCTGCCCAATCATGTGACGGCGATTGCCCACTAACCCGATTCGTCGGCAGTGGCGACACGTGAGACCGCGACAATGGGGAGATCTATTGCTACATCTGACCATTTGCGCACCCGGTCCCTCAGATCCCCAGGACTCCGCATATATGCTTTTTCTTGACCCAGAAAACAACATCAGCCACGCCGCGTCGTGACAACCCGGAGCCATCCGTGTAGCCAGGCTGCAGTTCGTCGTCGTTGCGCTGAGCAGATCCCGAGGGAAAGCAAGAGAGTGCGCCGAGTGACCGTTACGACCATCCTTCTTGTCCCTATCCTTCGCTTTTTCTTCTCTCTTCATCCGGCCTGTTGCGTCACCTGACATGGTAGAAGCAAGCCGGCTGTCCTCGACGCCTGCTGCGACATCACAACACCGCAGTTCCCGCAATCGCTGTGCGGGTCGACTTGACCCCCGTGTTCTAGCCCACAATCAGTCGCCATTCTCGCACTCATTGCAAAAGTCCTGGAACTCTGCCGCAAAATGGTGAAAAAAGTCACTTATTCGCGGCGCAAACCCGACAAGCGGCGCTTTCCCTTCGACTTTGATGACGCCCAGGAAAACGACAACGGCCGCAAGCGCGCCAAGGCAAATGACAAGTCCGCTGGACTGCAGTCTCCGACGCCGGCTTCGAGTGGGCATGTGAAGCGGTCATCTGTGTCGAAGAATGGCGCTTTTGGCGGGCCTGTCTCCATACCGGAAGACGCAGATGTTGACCCTGCACCGCACAGCGGCAAAAGACGCTCTGTATTCGACAAGGTTCTGGGCGAAGGGAGATGCCAAGCCCCAAAGCCAGACGAAGATAGCCTGCGGGCCAACAAGCAGCAGTTTGCGGAGATTTTGAAGATTGGGCAGAGATCCAAAGAGGCCAACGACCGGAATAGGAAACGCTATCTGCCTACACCGCCTGCCGAGACGCAAAAGGCTCCTCAGGAAGACGAGGCTGTTGTGCGGCTGAACGGATACGCAGACAAGAGCAAGTCGATGCCTCCTGAGCCATCAGCTACCACTTCGAGCCAGACACCGCAGCCCCTGGAACAGGCCCTCAGGAACGAGCCCCCCAGAGAGCCATATCAGCCGAGGGCTTACAAAGCCGTGCAGACGGCTGCGCCAAGGCGAATCATTGACGGATGTCCGCTCTCGAGAAAGTCATGCGAGGCTCAGAAGTTAGTGTGGTTTAAAGTGCGTACCTTAGTTCCACACACTGACTTGACTAGATGGTCGACCAATCAGGCCAGCTCGCCGTTGCTGCAGCTGCCTCCAAATGTGCGGGAACTTATCTACAAGTACACGCTGGGGGGTAAAACGATCAATATCAACTACGAGACATACCGCATCGCTTTGGACCCTACTAGGCCCAAGGTGCCGCGGCGGGTCACGCCCATGTTCCGGTACCATTGCACCGTCATTGACGGCAAGATGAATCCTTTTCTCGCGGCTGCTAAGCCGTACATTAAGACGCAAAACAGCTTTACCTTGTTGAACAGCACATGTCGGCAGCTATATGTAGAGACGGCGAGCCTGCCGTACAAGCTCAACGTGATATGCTTTGGCTCGCACAACATCATGGTCAACTTTCTGCTCATGGAGAAGCGACTGTCTCGTCAACAGCTCGATGCCTTCACACAGCTGCTGCTCCCGGACAACCTACCTGGACCGGCCATGCTCGCGTCTCTCCGGAACCTGGAGAAGGTGTATCTTATATATCAACAGACGGAGACGGCCCAAGGCTGGTATCATGTTGACCGGAAGGAAGGCGAGGAGCCAAGTCTGAGGCCCATTTTAAAGGGACGCGGATCGTAGGTCACGGGCGTGGGCTGGAGGATAGTGGGTGGAGAGGGCTCACCGGAGCACAAGGCATTCTCCGCGTGTGGTTTGTTTTGCACATGGCATTTGTCGGCGGCATAGGTAATACCCGGCACTTTTACGGCGTTGCGGACTGCATTTACATGTACATTTGGCTTGATAGCTCGACGCGATATGCAACGGGCAATGTGACTGCATTGCTTTGGCACTAATATGTATGCTTCTGTGCGTACGTGGCCAAGCCACTTTCCTCTTGGGTCGCTGGGTGGGTGGCCGAGTCAGACTGGCATGTGAAGGAGGCGCCGTGTGTCTCAGCCAGCGTCGAGTGCAGATGACCGTGGGAGGGTGTGGACCATGTTCTCATGTGCGTGTATCTCGTGCTGTGCTGTGCGGAGACGGGACCGTCGAGGCCCCAGACAGGGGCGGCCAAGGGAGTGATGGCCTTCCCCCACATTCTGCAGCGTCTCGGGATTTTCGTGGCCATGCCTCGACGCACTCCGAGCTGAATGCGGCCGTGTCGGCCAAGAGGTGCAGTGCAGTGCAGTAGCCTTTGGCCTTGTGCAGGTCCCGAAAAAGATTTCGTGTCAGCATGGGCGGGGACAAGTCAGTCTCATCCCATCGCTCGCCCGCCCGCCTCTGCTTAGCCACACCCATCCACACCCACACCCTGGACGACCAACAGCGACGGCCCATGAAATGCACCCTCGCTCACGCTCCCTGGCTTGCTCGAGCCTGCGCTGGGCGGCCGCTGGTATTTCAGGCGCCGCCGCCCGCGCACGTCTGCTCGTCGCCATTGACAGCTGTCTGCCCAAAAAGCACTCGCATTCCAGCCGCCGGCCCGTGACGTAGCTTCCGCGATTTGCGCAACCACGGGCGCATGACCACGCATTTCCCGCCAATACCTACACCGCGCCTTGGAGAGAAAAGCACTATTACTACCTCGCTCCGCCCCGCTGCCCGTGACGGCTACACACACCATCTGCTCCCCTCGCCCGCACCTGGATCCCTCTGCCGCCTGCTTGCCACGCGCCTCGCTGCCTGCCCGTGGAATCCCCCCCGGCCCCCTTGGACCGCCGACCCTCTTCTCTGGCCCTCGTCCGACCCACCAATCCAGACGTCGCAGCATTCGCGCATGGCGTGCACCAACGCTCCATGTCACTGCTGTCTGACTCCATCTTTGCAGGCGGCAGCACTCGACTGCACGTAAGAGGAGGACCGCAGGCCCAGAAGGCCGTCAGGAAGAGCAAGAGCCATGGCGGGTTCCTGGGCCCCCTCGCCCACCTAGTCAGGAACCCGGTAGGGAGTCTTGCTGGCATCTTGGGCGACGCCCATGTGCCTGAGTCAGACGCGGCCGCCGCAGCAGAAGCCACTCGCCGGCAAGTCCTGTACCTGCGCATCAAAGACGTGGGTTGCTCAGATTGGTGGTGTTGCTATCACATGCTAACCACACCGCGGTCCAGGCCGAGACATACGACGAATGGAGAGCCGCTGCCACGGAGCTCGACATGCTCGAGGGCAACGACGCCTGGAAAGAGCAGGACGAGACGCACGAGTACAACGCGGCCCTGGTCGCTGCCCGCCTGAAGGAGCTCGACGACGCGCGCATGAGCTGCGACGTCAAGAGAATGCTGTTTTTAGTGCGAACCTCGCTCACCCGCGGATTGGGCGACATGGGCCATCTGCGCCTGTACAAGCACTCGCACATTGGCACCAAGCGCCTGATTGAAAGGTACATTGACTCGGCGCAACAAACCTTGGCTGCCTTGTTGAGCGTGTCGGAAAAGCAAGGGGACCAGTGCCCTGTTGAGCCGCGTCTGCTCGTCGATCAGCTCCTGCAGACACGCCAATCATTTGGCCGCAGCGCATTGCTGCTATCGGGAGGCGGCACTTTCGGAATGAATCACATTGGCGTCATCAGGGCACTGTGGGAGGCCCGTCTCCTCCCGCGCATCATCTCCGGCGCGTCGGCGGGAAGCATCGTGTCCGCGGTGCTGTGCACCAAGACGGATGCAGAAGTGCCAGAAATTATGCACGAGTTCTGCTACGGCGACCTCAACGTATTTGGGAACCCAGACCAGCCAGACGGCGTCTTGGGCAAGGCGATGCGGATGATGAAGTCTGGTGTTCTCTTTGACATTTCGCATCTGACCAGAGTCATGCGAGGTTTGCTTGGAGACATGACTTTTCAGGAAGCATACAACCGCACCCGGCGCATTCTGAACATTCCAGTGTCGACATCGTCGCTCTACGAACTGCCCCGACTGTTGAATTATATTACAGCGCCAAACGTCATGATTTGGTCAGCAGTGTAAGTACCAAGTAGATCCCGGCCCTATTGATACTAATCTACCACAGATGCACATCTTGCTCGGTCCCGTTGGTCTACAAGAAAGCCTCTCTCATGGCAAAAGACCCAAGAACCGGCCTAGAGGTTCCGTGGGACCCCAACCCCGACGCTACCTGGATCGACGGTTCGGTAGACAATGACCTACCAATGACGCGCCTGGCTGAGCTGTTCAACGTGAACCACTTTATCGTCTCTCAGGTCAATCCACATGTCATCCCCTTCCTGGAAAAGGACGAGGACCTGCTCCCTAGTGAAGCCCAGGAGCAGCTTGCGGCCGGTCCCAGCTGGGTCAGTCTTTCGGCTAATCTGTGCAAAGGCGAGGTGATGCATCGCCTCCAACAGCTGGCAGACACTGGGTTTCTCCCATATCTTGCTACCAAAGGCAAATCAGTTCTCAGTCAGCGGTACTCTGGGGATATCAACATCTTCCCCAAAATTAACTATGCCGACTTTCCCATGGTTCTGAGCAACCCCACAACCGAGTTTATGATTGGGTGTATGCTTACCGGACAACGTGCTACTTGGCCGAAGCTTTCACGCATACAGAATCATGTCGCTATTGAGCTTGCTTTGGATGATACCATCCAGAAATTGAAGGGTCGAATGGTGTTTCCGTCGCCACGAAGCGACATGCAAATTAGACGCACTAATTCTCAAGACACGCATATTTCACAGAGGCAGCGAGCAAGATCCACGCACAAGACGACGCGCTTTCAGCTGAGAACAAGCCCTCCCAGTCCAGTCCTTCGCAAGTCAACACCTACCACTCCATTCCTTTCTCGGGCGAATTTGCGAGCATCGCTGCAGCCCCTTTCTGCCCCTAAGCAACCCAACATGCTATATGATTCCTATTTCCAGCCGATGCCCAATGATGGTACTATTCAACTAGATCCATCATCATCGGCCAATGACACTTCTGACCAGGATTATTTTGCAGATCCAGACTCAGACACTACCGAAGACGTCTCATCACCGTCACCACCTACATCGCCCAGCGTCCACGGCCCAACCCTTTGGCCTTCAACCCCGCAAGCCTTGATGCGACCTGCTCCACAGCCTGTTTCCCAGCCCAGACCACCCACGCCTGCCACCAGCCCCCTTCGGCGCCGCACAGGCACATTATTCAATCTGACAATGACGTCTGCAACTCCACAGTCAACAGGCGATAACGGGCCGAGTTCTCCAGAGCGCCGTTACAAGCGCCTTTTCCACCCTCCCGGGCCTGCTACCCCGGACGTCAGTGTCGGGCCCCCAGAGCTTGAACCCGAGCCCGTCTGGCCTGCCCCTTCACCTGCTGCCAGTAGATGCGGCAGCAGACGCAACAGCACCTCTGGCATGCCGCTTGACCATTCGGGCACAAGGGCCATGCTGTTGAGGAAGAAGAGTTGTATGTAATTCACCCCTTTTGACCTAGAACTATCGTTTTATATCTTTTCATTGTATATCCCAATCATTCTATTCTTCTTCTACTACTACTCCATACACTGATTCCCTATGTTCTTCTTTCTTCTCTTCAGCATTTGTAGGCGCCCTTCTTCCTCTCTCCCTCTCTCCTTCTCTCCCTCTCTCTTTCTTTTTTCTCCTGAACACTTTTGAATAGATGCTGTCGTCTCGGGTAGATGGGCTCTATACATGTATACAAAAGACGTGGTCTTTTCTCTTCTCTTCCTTTTCTTTTCTTTTCTGTTCTTTTCTTTGGTCGAGATTGCAGATACACAGACAGACAGACAGGAAGACAGATAGGAAGACAGATGGGGAGGGAGAGTAGGACAGTAGGAAAGTAGGGGATGCTACAATAGCAGAGCTAAATGTAGATGCAGAAGCAGGGATCCGAAGTCGAGATGGATATAACTTTCGGTTGTATGTATGCGTATATTTTCTGGAATCTGTGAAGGATAAAAGGATGAGTGTGAGCGGAATGGCTCATCTTCTCTTTTTTTTTCTCTTTCCTTCTTTCCTTCTTTCTATGTACATGTGTATATAGATTGACAGATAGATAGATTGATAGCTGGATTGAGTGGTCGGTTGGTTGTTTGATTGATAGGAATAAATAAACAAATAAATATATTTTCGATACGTATCGAGATTGCAACTGGAATACCAGAATACGTGGATGAAGAAGGGGAATAGGCTAGAGGGATCATCATATCCGTCAATCTAGTTATTTTTAACAAGTTTCTTTTATACATTTTGACATGATATAGCAGCTATTACCAAGAAAGAAAAAAGGTACATACATACAACATATGCGCTGGGCATTGCATTCACTCACTCAATGACTTATTTACATATATGTACTTACTCGCCCTACCCCTTCCTCCTCTTCATCTAATCCATGCATCCTCAACCCAACCATCTCATCCCCCACATACGATCCCCCTCCCCTACGCCTACACCTCCCTATCCGCAAACCTCTTCTTAACCTCCTTCCCACGCCACCTGGCAAAAAGCTCATAGCCAAACACAATGACAATGGGCAGCGCAACCATGATGGCCGTCACACGGCGCGCAGCAGGCCGGTACTTGGGCGGCAGCCGCATGTCGGGCGTGGGCTCGATGATGCGCGTAGCGGATTGCGGTGCGGGCCGCGGAAGATGCGCTGGGTGTGCTGGGCGTTGCGAGGTGCGCGTGTAGGATGAGGAGGATGAGGAGGAGGAGGAGGAAGTGGGGTAAGGGTTATTTTGTTTTTGGTGTTGTTGCGAGGAGCGCGTGGGGATGATGGGAGATGGGGCTTGCGAGGGTTTTTTCGGGAGAGGAATGGTTGTTGTGCGTTGTTGAGAGCTTGGTAGTGGTGGTGGTGGTGGCGAGGAGCTGGGTTTACGCAGCCAGGGTGGTGATGGTCGTTCAGTGCTGCTGCTTGTACCACTGGATGTTTTGTCCAGTCTGGGGGATGCCGTTTTCAGTGTCCCTTTTGTGCGGACTTGGTCGAGGATCTTGCTTGCGGATGGTGTGGCGGGTGTGGGCTGTGGCGCCTCTTGCTTTGCCATGGTGGGTGTAGTAGAGGTAGTAGTAGCAGTTTTCGCACCCGTCTTCTTGTCTTTTCCAGACTCGACAGGCTTGTCCTTTTCTGTCGCAGCCATTGTAGCAGTCTTCCTTGCTTCTACCCCTAGTACTTATTGTCCCCGCTTCTTCTACACCTTTTTGGGCCGCCCGCGCTTCTTGACGGCTGCTAGATTGACGTGGCGTAGGAAGACAATATGGCGACTTGCGATTGCTCAATTGGTGCAGAATACGTTTGACCGGAACACGGAAGCTCAGGAGAATGGTAAGAGGCTTGCGACACGGAGTAGAACTTGGGGCGCGGTCCCGAGGGGTAGAGGGGAATTTTGGGAGTGTTTGGCGGAGGTGAGGGATCACAGTACAGGGATACGCGCTACCTACTTATCGATAAGACTAAACACTATCAGCTATGCCTGGTAAACAATAGTCTAATCCCCACTCTCAAACATGTCGAGGATACTTTACGCCATGCGCGGGCACTCACATATTTAATTTCAATAGCTATTTGTTTTCCATTTTTCAAGAGTAATTTCAACGGGCTGACGCAGCGGATTCAACAAATAATAAGTGTTCACAAGTACATTGTCATGATTCAGATTAGTCTTTAAGCGTCAAGCCGTAGGTTACAGGTATCTAGTTCATCCAACTCCAACGCCAGACATTGCCGAGACTATTTTTGCGCCTCTTCCCTCTTGACCCGAAAGTAAGCCAGTTTGGCAAAGCGGCCAAGCTGCCCCCAGTAATGGCGACCAGCAGAGTGATCCATGATGCGCTCGAGCAGCTTTACAACCGCCATGCGGACATCTTGTCTGGGATGGAAAAGGCCCAGACTGACGTAAAAGAGCCCAGCATCGGGTATGACGCAAAGCAGCTGGAGGACAGTCTCGTACTGCAGGTGGGCGCTTGCTCGCTTGTCGGCGCGGCTGGGAAGACTGGCGAGATCAGTCGACGAAGCACTGGTGCTTTCACTGAGCGAACCCGCTTCTTCCACACACCGCGCAAGTGCAAGATAGATGGCCGCTGATTGCTCATGCGACAGTTTCAGACAACGCAGCTTGTCGTGCTGATGGTGCATGTCGAGACCCCGCACTGGTCTTTTATGCCAGAGCTTTGCCAGGTCCTGGATACAGCTGTAATAGCTTCTTGTGTTGCGCCAGCCTTCGATGCGATGAACATTTGCAGCAAGTTCGCGCAGCTTGGAGCCTTCGTCTGGCCATACATAGCCGTGCCCCGAGACACCATATGCGTCGATTTCGGTTTCGTGAGCGCCAATATAAAGAGCCGACGCGCCGTAGACGGTCTCTTCAAAGGCAGCTGCAATGCGCGTGAACTTGAGTACCCAGGAGCGCCACTTTGCCCGGATTGCGTTCTCGCCATGCCGATTGGCAATGCTTTCGAGAAGTTTGTCCATGAACTGGTTGTCGCCGGTTGCGTCCACACCGCCCTTGCTGTCAGAGCCGGGCGTTCCACCATGTCCATTCAAGGGGAGGCCCTGCTGCTGGAAGAACATGGAACCCTCTGTTGGCGAGGCCGACTCGATTCGGTTGCTGATCTTCATGCGACCAGTGGGAAGGTCACAGAGCAGGTCCCACCACTCGGGTTTGTAGGAAAATGCAGGATTGGTGACGCCCGCAATGAAGCCCGGCACCTTGAGCAGGTCGTCGACTTTGGTCAGGTCAGTGTACGGAAAGGCGTGTCGGACAAAGCCGCGCAGTACCCCGCCAGACGCCAGGGCGCATGCTGCCAGGACAGCCTCCGCGACTTCGCCTGAAGGACGGTTGTGTCCGATGAAGATGATGCGCTTCTGCGTCAGGAGGGCGTTGACAAGGACAATGATTGGATGCGTATATGCGCCGCTTGTCGTCAGATGCGGATGCAGGGCGAATGGCTGTGGTTGTGTGGCGTGCGGCGTGGAAAAGGTCTGTATGAGTTTGATGAGGGAAAAGTCGCCCACGGTTTCCGGACTCAGGGCCGTTGGTATCTTGACGGGCACCGGTATGCCGTTGTAGTCAATCTTGGACTCAAATTCGTGCGTGTCGCGGGGCACGGTATACGTCTTCTTCCTGGAATGGGGATCGAATGACGATTCCTGCGACTCCCTCGCCGCATCGAGCTTCTTCCGCTGCCGGACCATGAGCTCAAACTTCTCGACAAACATGTCTTTGGCGTCACTAGCGCCCAGCACAAAGTTCTCCAGATGGGACAGTTTCGGCAAGAGAGACAGGTCCATGGAATTGAGGGCGTTGTAGAGCGAAGCGAGCGTCTCGAGCACGGGTGCCCTGAAGTACTCCTCGAGGGCCAGCAGCAGCAGCGGCTTGTATATGTGCAGGAAGGGATGGCGCGTGCAGATGGCCATGGCCTTGACAATTGCGCCTCTGTTGGCGGGTTAGTTGGGGGGCAGAGTTGGCGGTCGTGGTCGCCGTACCTTTTCACCGTCATGTCCTGCTTGGTGTTTACCAGGTTCAGGACGTAGACCAGCGGGGGCCCGTCTGAATCCATCTCGGCGTCGCTGTCTGTCTGGTCGTCGGATTCCGAGTCGTCGTCGGCGGCGGCGGTGGCGGCTGGGTTGTGCTTGGGGCTGACGGCCTCGTGCTCCTCAGCGCCAGCGGGCGCGGCCTCGTGGCCGTCTTCCAGGCCCTCCTTGCGGCGCCTTCGGCGGCGGCGGCGCTCTCTCCTTGCCTCGCGCTCCTCCTCCTCGGCCGTCGTGTCCTTGTGCAGGAAGAAGATGGTCCAGTCCTGGCTCCGGACGTGGGCCTGGTCGGGCAGCATGAGCTCGGCCAGCATGGTCTCGTCGCCGCTGATGGCGGCCGGGTACTGGTGCTCCATGATGGAGCCGCGATCAATGTCGAACGAGGCGACGAGGATGTACTCGACATGGTTCTCGACCGAGTCGGCGGGATACTGGGAGCGCAGCCTCATGCTGGGGCGGAGGTACGGGGCAGCATGGGATGTGGCCTCGGAGGCGTGATGGTGGAGGAAAGAGTCGCGCTCCGACTGGATCGAGTCGTTCTCGTCGCCCTCGCGCAGCATGGGTGGCTGCGGGGAGCGGGCTTTGGGGTAGTGGCCATTGCGGGTCGAGGGGGAGCGTGAGGGCGGGAACGAGGAGAAGGAGGGCTGGCGCTGCAGCGTCGTTGTTGGCGGCGCCGCTGCCGCTGTCGCTGTCGCTGCCGCTGCTGTCGCCGCCGTGGCCGTGGCGGGCTGGGGGGCATTGGGCCCGCTTGGTCGTTGTGCTACCACTTCGGCCATGAGTGTCTCCATCGTCTGGACGGGGCCCCAGGGCTGGTGCGGACAATGCCCATGGATCTACATAGTCCGGGCGCTAGTGTTAGGGGGGGGAGGCCAATGCAACACAGGCTCCGAAACGGCCCTGTCACGCCAGAGAGCATGCCCGCGAAGGGCGATGCGGGCGGAGGAGGACGAAGGGGGGGGGGAGCGCGGACGGCGGGCGAGGGGCGTCGAGGGGCATTGATGGTGGCGCGCGTGAATGACCGGCATGGCATATTATCTGGCGCTGGGCTGGACTACAGCAGGCGGCCCTGCAGGGCGAGGGAATACTTAATGGCTGCCCTGTATTACATAGTGATTATCATAACATGGGCTGCCCCCCCCCCGAATTGGGGTTGGTGGCTTGCTTATCGATTGCCTGGGGGGCCCGTGTCGCATCTTGTTGCCAGGCCCACGCTGCCAACACCAGCCCGCCATCAACAAACGTCGCCCGTCGGCCCGCGGCGAAGAAGAAGAAACGAAGTCATCACCCACCATCGCCCGCCGCACCCCCCAGGCTGTGTTGAGGCCCTGTCTGCACTGCGAAACACACACGCAAACTTAAAGTGCGCCCCCGATGGAGTCGTCGACGCCCACGCCCTACAAGCCCTCGCCGCTCTCCTTCAACAACACACAGCGCCAGTCGCCCTTTCGCCGCCCAGGCTCCATCCGAGAGGCCTCGCCCTCGACCCTCCGGCCCTCGACACCCACCAGCTCGCCGCTGAAGCCCAAGGAGACGCCCACGACTCCTTCGCAGGCAAACCTCCGCCCCACGGCCGCCGCCGCTGGCAATGCACCGCCAT